TTTTTTTTTAAATTTTTAGACAAAATTCCAATAAGAATTATGTGATAATAATTTTAATAGACATTTCATTTTAAAATCACGAGTCACACTATAATTTTTTTTTAGAGGGGTAAAACCCAAGCTGAAGAAGACAACAAATCATTAATCAGAAGCTACAAGAGTCACAGTACACTTTAATCATGTTATTTTGTATAGATATTATATTACATACTTCTTGCTCGTATGCCAATTTGTATAGCATCAATTTTTGTCAAAATGTTGCGTTGGATGTAAAAAAGGCAGAGAGTGTTGTTGGGGTGAAGAAACCGCTTTTGTCCCATCCAAATGTTGCTTATAATGTTGTCATCATGATAGAAACGTTACACATATATATGCCTGTGTTTGGCAAGTGGGTATGCAGGTTTTTTTGGCTATTTTAGTCACAAAAAATAAAATAGGCTATTTTAGCCATAACAAACAAAACATCACATCTAACCCATAATTATTACATTCTTCTTTCACAAAAAAACTCAAAAAAGCCAAAAAGCCAAAAAGTCCTTCCCAAACCAAGCTTTTAAGCCCAGGCTAAAATAACTAAAAAAAGCTAAAAAGCCAACCCATTTCCCAAACGGAGGCATAGCAACCGCCTTTGCTGGACGCCTGGGCACGCATACACATGATACAACCAACGCCTTTATTGTTCAACACCAATTAAAATATGAGTAATGTTAAAATTATCAAAGATTTATTAAATTTTTTATTAAATATTTTATATGAGTGTGAGATTTATTTAATAGAAATTTTAATAATTTTTTTAAAATTTGTAACATTTTTCTTAAACTTCATATAAAAAAATTTATAAAAATTATATTATAATGTTGGACCTTTGTGGGTTTACCACGGAATCTACATCAATGATTTGAACTTTTCAATGTGTGGGGCTTGTTAATTATTTTCTCTTTGCAAAAAATTATCTTGATCGGATATTGATAGTCACTTGATCACATCACATTTGAGTATGATTTTAAAAATAAATTATTGAGATAAATGTGATGTGGTCAAGTGGTTATCGATATTTGACTAACATAATATTTTACAAGAATGAATTATTCAACGAGTCTTACATATTGAATAGTTTGAATTATCAATGTGAACTTTGTACTAGATCCACGAAGGCCCAATAACATCTTCCAATTCGATATGGACCGGAAAAAAAATCTCTCCCATCATTTTGTGTTTGTAATATTGCTAGTATTGTTTACCTACATATATTATAAATGAATATTGCTAGTATTGTATATCTACATGTATTATAAATGAATCGGGACAAAATGAGTACTGAATTACTCAAATTTAGCTTTAAAATTTAATGAATTTTAAAATATGTCTAAATTTAAATTATTTACCTTAATAAGACCATCTCCAATGATTATTCAAATCTATCATCAAATTTGAATTTGGTGAAAAATCACTCATTTTCCTGCTTCAACGGTTTCATCAAATAAGTATCAGATCCAAAATTTTATTTTTCTTCTATCAAATTGAGGACCAATGTGCCTTTTATCAAATCACTGTTCATAGCCATTTGATTTTCACCACCAGATGTCCTTTCGGATGTCCCTTAGATGACCATTTCAAGGGAAAAATTTATGAAAAAATTACACTGGCCAGACATTCACTTGGTCGTACACCCAATCGACCGATGTTCTGATGAAGTTTTAAAAACCTCCGTTGAAATATTTAATATCAAATGAAATTTTTACTTAAATTTAATTAAAAATTTTATACGCCGTTGGAGATATTCTAAGTCCATCACAATTCTAACCCTCATAAATTGATTTTAATAATAAATATAATAACGTTGAATTAAATAATAAGTTATTTAAATTTAATTATTTTAAAATTATTTAACTATTTTAAAAATATTTTAAGCAAACGAACTCTTTAGTTTGGATTACGAGTGTGAAACCAAAATCACGAAAGCAGCTTTCAAGTTGTCCATTATTTTCAAATCTTTTCCCCTCCCTTTTTATACCCTTCCCACAGATCCCTTGTACCCCTACCAGTTTCCTGTACAATCTCCCTCTCTCTCTCTCTCGCTCGCTGTTTCTGTGTCTACAAGTTTGGCATAAAGGTCTCTCTATCCATGGCTTCATCTTCTCATGTCGAAACCTCCTCAAACAACATTCCATACCAGGGTATGTCAAATTCTTTACAAACCCATTTTCTAGGTCATGTTCATACACAAGCATATATATACAAATTATTGTTTCGATTCTTCAAAATAACTAATCATATATTTATGTGCGTGTATATTGCAGGATTGGATTGTCATGATGAGAATGTACTCAAAAAACACGTCGAGTTCTTCGATCGGAACAAAGACGGTGTTGTTTATCCTTGGGAAACTTTTCAAGGTTTTTTTTTTTTTTTTTTTTAAACTCTGTTTTAACATAGATATTGGTTAAAATTATTTGCCTATTCCTCTTGTACAATTTTTGGCTTTATCAAGCTTATGCATACTACAGTCTATCTTCTTTGGACCAAATAGTGGGTTTTTTTTTTTTTTTTTTTTTTTTATATATATATATATATATAATTTTGATCAATTTTACTTCACTCATTTTTGTAATTAAGTGGAAAGACTAAAATATTTTTATACATAAGTAATTTTATTTTATAAATCACGATTTTTTTTAGGTATTTTTTTTAAGTGGCAAAATTTTACTTTAACCTGTGTACTTTACTTATGTGCAATTTAGTATTTTGATATTTGAAAATGGGTACACGTGTTTTTTATGTCGCGGCTCATGTTACTCTTTTCATTACACAATTGTAATAGAGAATTTTCATTACATATTCAATCACTATAAATTAAAAATGTGAATTTATAATTATTTTAAATTAGGAAAAAAAAATATTTTTATACAGTTAGGATGATGTAATGAAAAATTTCAATTACAACCATGTATTGGAAAGTATCACAATTATAAACGGCATGTACTGGAAAGTATCACAATTATAAACGGAATGCTTGGTGATGCGTCGAAAACACAAGTGATTATTTAGCTATTTTCAAAGAATAAGAATGTAACAACCGGGTAAAGCAAAATTTGTATAATTTTTTCTTCATGATTGGAGTTCTTACTTTACGTGAGGGTTTTGAATTAGCTTTTTTTGATCCTATTTCTCTATAATGTTTTATTTGGTTGGAGGATATGAAAAGGGAAAGAAAAAAAAGTAAGTGAAATATGAATAAATCATTTTTATTTCACAATCTCTTTTTAAATTTTTCAACCAAATACAGTGTAAATGAAAAAAATATATAGGCAATTTGTCTTTTGATATATGTAAGGTGTACTATATGCAAGTTATGTAATTTGTGACTAGATATCAAATAAAGTATAACAAAAAATTTTTTAGATCATAACAAACAACACAATAATTTATAAATAAGTCATAACTAAAAACACAATAAACGTAACTAGGAATGCATATACCAACGAATTTCCCATATAATATGTGTTCTAATTTTTTTTTTTTTCTCCTTCTTAATCAGGTTTTCGTGCAATTGGATGTAATATTTTTTTGTCCACCTTCGCTTCCATTTTTATCAACGTCGGACTCAGTGGCAAAACTCGTCCTGTAATTTTCTCTCTCTCTCTCTCTCTCTCTCTCTCTCTCTCTCTCTCTCTCTCTGTGTGTATATATGTATATATAAACACGTACATACATACATAGAATAGAAGATATTTGCAGTCCTTACTTTACTGGTTTTTTGGTTGATGGATTATTCTCTTTTGGCATGCATTAGAATTTAGGGCAAATTACATATACACCCCTCGAGGTTTGGCCAAATTACAGATGCCCCCCTGAGGTTTGAGAAATTACGAATTCCCCCCTGAATACTATATTTGCATAAGAAATTAGGGGGTTATTTGTTATGAAATATAAACCTCAGGGGGCAAATTGTTATGAAAATACAAACCTCAGGGGGCGGGATGTAATTTCCGAAACCTCAGGGGGGTATCTGTAATTTAGCCAAACCTCGAGGGGTGTATATGTAATTTGCCCTAGAATTTATTCATTTGTTTGCAACAAATGGAGATTATGACATAGGAACGTACAAATTGGCCAAATACATTACTCTTTCTGTCTTAAAATATTAGTCTTTTATTTTATTTTTTATTGTTTCAAAATATTAGTCTTTTTTTAAAAATTAAGAATTAAAATAATATGAATTTCTTATTTTGCCATTCTTTTTGTAAGAGAAATTGATATAGAGAGAAATTGTATGTATTATGATTGCTGTATTGAATGTTGTATTGAATTGTGTATATTACAAGGATTTATATTTAGCTTTAAAGTTTAATGAATTTTAAAATATGTCTAAATTTAAATTATTTACCTTAATAAGACCATCTTCAATAGTTATTCAAATCTATCATTAAATTTGAATTTGGTGAAAAATCACTAATTTTCTTGCTCCAACTGTTTCATCGAATAAGTATCAAATTCAGAATTTTATTTTTCTTTCATCAAACTGAGGACCAACATACCTTTCATCAAATTAATGTTCATAACCGTTTGATTTTCACTATCGGATGTCGTTCCAGATGTCCCCTTAGATGACCACCATAAGACAAAAATTTGTGAAAAAATTGCACTAGCTGATCGACCGACTGGACATCCACCTGGTTGTTCGCCCGATCAGCCGTTGTTCTGATGAAGTTTCAAAAACCTTCATTGAAATACTTGATATCAAATAAAATTTTAACTCAAATTTAATTAAAAATTTAATACACCGTTGGAAATATTCTAAGTCCATCACAATTCTAACCATCATAATTTGATTTTAATAATAAATATAATAAAGTTGAATTGAATAATAAGTTATTTAAATTTTAATTATTTAACTATTTTAAGCAAACGAACTCTTTAATTAGTTTGGATTACGAGTGTGAAACCAAAATCACGAAAGCAGCTTTTAAGTTGTTCATTATTTTCAAATCTTTTCCCCTCCCTTTTTATACCCTTCCCACAGATCCCTTGTACCCCTACCAGTTTCCTGTACAATCTCCCTCTCTCTCTCTCTCTCTCTCTCGCTCGCTGTTTCTGTGTCTACAAGTTTGGCATAAAGGTCTCTCTATCCATGGCTTCATCTTCTCATGTCGAAACCTCCTCAAACAACATTCCATACCAGGGTATGTCAAATTCTTTACAAACCCATTTTCTAGGTCATGTTCATACACAAGCATATATATACAAATTATTGTTTCGATTCTTCAAAATAACTAATCATATATTTATGTGCGTGTATATTGCAGGATTGGATTGTCATGATGAGAATGCCCTCAAAAAACACGTCGAGTTCTTCGATCGGAACAAAGACGGTGTTGTTTATCCATGGGAAACTTTTCAAGGTTTTTTTTTTTTTTTTTTTAAACTCTGATTTTTGCTTTATATAATTTTGATCAATTTTGCTTCACTCATTTCTGTAATTAAGTGGAAAGACTAAAATATTTTTATAAATAAGTAATTTTATTTTATAAATCATGAATTTTTTTAGTTATTTTTTTAAAGTGACAAAATTTTAGTTTAACCCGTGTACTTTACTTCTGTGCAATTTAATATTTTGACATTTGAAAATGGACACACGTTGTCTTTATGTCGTGGCTCGTGTTACTCTTTCCGTTACACAATTATAATGGAGAATTTTCATTACATATTCAATCACTATAAATTAAAAATGTGAATTTATAATTATTTTAAATTAGGAAAAAAAAATATTTTTATACAGTTAGGATGATGTAATGAAAAATTTCAATTACAACCATGTATTGGAAAGTATCACAATTATAAACGGCATGTACTGGAAAGTATCACAATTATAAACGGAATGCTTGGTGATGCGTCCAAAACACAAGTGATTATTTAGCTATTTTCAAAGAATAAGAATGTAACAACCGGGTAAAGCAAAATTTGTATAATTTTTTCTTCAAGATTGGAGTTCTTACTTTACGTGAGGGTTTTGAATTAGCTTTTTTTGATCCTATTTCTATCTAATGTTTTATTTGGTTGGAGGATATGAAAAGGGAAAGAAAAAAAAAGTAAGTGAAATATGAATAAATCATTTTTCTTTCACAATATCTTTTCAAATCCCTCAATTAAATATAGCGTAAATGAAAAAAATATATAGGCAATTTGTCTTTTGATATATGTAGGGTGTGTACTATATGCAAATTATGTAATTTGTGACTAGATATCAAATAAAGTATAACAAAATTTTTTTTAGATCATAACAAACAACACAATAATTTATAATTAAGTCATAACTAAAAACACAATAAACGTAACTAGGAATGCATATACCAACGAATTTCCCATATAATATGTGTTCTAATTTTTTTTTTTTTTTTTTCCTTCTTAATCAGGTTTTCGTGCAATTGGATGTAATATTTTTTTGTCCACCTTCGCTTCCATTTTTATCAACGTCGGACTCAGTGGCAAAACTCGTCCTGTAATTTCCTCTCTCTCTCTCTCTCTCTCTCTGTGTATATATATGTATATATAAACACGTACATGCATACATAGAATAGAAGATATTTGCAGTCCTTACTTTACTGGTTTTTTGTTTGATGGATTATTCTCTTTTGGCATGCATTAGAATTTATTCATTTGTTTACAACAAATGGAGATTATGACATAGGAGCCTACAAATTGGCCAAATACATTACTCTTTCTGTCTTAAAATATTAGTTTTTTATTTTATTTTTTATTATTTCAAAATATTAGTCTCTTTTTAAAAATTAAGAATTAAAATAATATGAATTTCTTATTTTGCCATTCTTTTAAATTCATTAACAGCACAAAAGGTACAATTATAACAATTGATATTCTTCAAAAAAAAATATATTATCAAAATATAATTTTGAAAAATTAATTTTTTTAAATTACAATAATTATACCATAAAAAAAAAAATAGATTCCCCCCCCCAAAAAAAAACTATTATTTAGGGACTGAGGGATTAGGAATTCTTGGCTTTCTTTGATTATTGTCACTCAAATCTTCTGATATTAAACTGAATGGTCAATTTTTTTTTATTAATAAAATTTTTTTATTCAATGCTGACGTATCAATCAGCAAATGTCATAATTTTATGTTATTTCTTCATTTCCCAATATAAAGTGGTAAAGTCTATCATTTTCGCCAATTATTTATTTGGGGCACCAGAAGAGAATATACTATTAGTATATGGGTAAAAAATGTATTTAAATGAGTGAAATGTATATTGAAATTCAAATTTTTTTAAATATTATTTGATTTTTAAAGAACAACCAATCAGTGGTCATTAACCGGACTCCTAATAAAATGATATATCATATTTGCTCTTCTGTTAGAAAAGTAACCGTGAGTGTTAATTATGTGATTTTTTAAAGCAAAATTAATGGTGCCTAGTATTTTTTAAATACTTTACCAAGTGTTGAGTTGATTATCCATAATAATTAAGAATATAGAAATAATGATAGAAAATATATCGAGCCTCACATAAATAATTACATTGGGATCCTTTAAGGGTTTAATTCATATAGCACTCAATTGTATTTTCATCAATAATTAATACTAGTAGTACTAGTATGAATGAACAATGATATTGTTATATCTTTCTCACAGAAATTTATATATTATCCATGTTTATTAAGGAGTCTACAACCATCTACATCAATTATGGTCGCTTTAATCTTACTAAAAGATCGGTGAGTATAATTATGTTAAATTTGTGAGATTTATTGTATTTTTTAAAATCTTAGAGGTGTTCAATGTAAGTTATGGTTATAACTGTTTAATGTGAAATCGTATGTAAGAAATCAACATATAGGCTTAGTCAAAAGAAAGCTAATTGTTGTGTCACTTGGGTTTTGGATGGTAAAAAGTTTGGCGAAATAACAATTCAGTAAAAGTTTGAAAATAAAAAATAAAAAAATCAGATTAGTGGCAAATTTTACAAATTTTATTGATTAAAGTCATAAACTTTTTCATGAATCTATAATTATTTTGAGAAGGTATCACTGATTTGTAATTTTTCCAAAAAGTTTCCAGTGAATTGGCAAGCCCAGTTTCTGGTAAATGAATATTATTTCAACTTGTGCCTGCTTGTGATGTTTGTGAACCCCAATTGTTAGACTGAGTTCAAACTGTAGTTCTTTTGTACAATTTGTTGTCAAATTGTCCATTTTCATTTTCCCATTTGGGAATATGAATTTCTGATAACATCAAATAATCTGTCCCACCATTATGCATTGTGGATCAAAAGATTCCTTGGGCGGTTCTTGATTATCACCATTTATTGGTTGTGTTGTCTTTGTTATCCATTATTTTTTACCGTCTTTGTTGATAGAGAGAGAGGCAAAGACCCAATAAATATCTTAGGATGATTTTGACAATGAACTTATCAATTTTTTCGAATAATTGAAATTGTAAGACTTTTCAGGCCTAAATGTTCATTAAAATATGAGTTATGCTAGGGAATTCAAATGAATTATTAAATATTCTACTAAACCTCTCACATGCGTGTGAGACCCACACTTGTCAGTTTCCTTATTTCCTTCGTCAACCTCTATCTCATGTTGCATCTCTGAACCACCCCCTGATATTGAATCACAAGCTTTGCCATAAGTTCCACACCCATGTGAGAGATTTAATAAAATATTTAGTAATTCATTTAGGATCTATGGCATTTTCCTTAAAATATAACTCTATAGGTTGGTAAAGCGATCACCTGAGGTCTAACTTTTTTAGGCTCTACTCTAATCTCTGTTGGAAGCCTCATAACAATTCTCCATGTTTAATGGTACATTTAAAAAAAAAAAAAAATCCAAAAGGAAAAAAGTAAAAAAATTTATCTAAGGTAACCAAAAGAAAAACCTACTCATACAAAGACTCAACAAAACAAAAAATTATTTGTCTATAGATCTCCAATATACTGAATAATACATTTATTTACAACCGACTAAGAAAGAAAAATAAACATCCATATCTATTATAAAGACTCAATAAAATGATGACCCTTCTTATAAAAAAAAGTGGCCCAAAAGTAAAGGCAAAATTCATCCTGACAAATGCACAAGGAAAATAAATTTTAAATAAAAATTTGACAATGTAAAAATTAAAAAATAATTAAATTACTATAATATACAAAGTCCCCTTGAAAAAAAAAATGGAAAATTGATCATATTATTGTGATAGAGAGAAATATATTCTCTCAAGTAGCTTAATTACATTCACCCACTACCAACCAAGGAACCCAAAATTATTGAAGAATTGTTGGGACGATGCTTTTAAAAAGTGATTTTCAATCAAAGGCTTAAGCTGCAGCTATCAAGTTGTTAAGTGATTTTATTCCATTGCATATGTCAAAAACATTTTTGACACTGATATTGGCTTGAACTACTAGTTAGAGTGACACATCTACATCAACAATGATCAAATTGAGAGAGAGATAAAAATAAATTAACACATGGCATATGATTTTTTTATCGTGCAGGGTAAATGTCCTTCTCTATGCTTCCCAATTGTGGTAAAAAACATCCAGAAAGCTAAGCACGGGAGTGACTCCAGTGTCTATGACTCAGAAGGAAGGTACATGCATTTCCACTTTTACTTTCTTTCATCTTAGGGGACTGATTCTTTGATTGATTCGATATTCTTGCTTGAAATGGACTTATTCTGGGATCAGGATCTGCAATAGTCTTGTAGTAACCAACATTCTAGTTTTAAAGTCGACACAAAACGACGTTGTTTAGGGGCTTGTGGTTTTAAAAAAAATATATACTGTTTTGATATTATCTTACTTCAGTTTTAAATTTGACCTGTTAGATTATGTACTTTGCTAAAGTGTTTTACTGTGGTAGAAAGCACAAGAAGATCATTGCACAAAAACAATGGCAGAGAATTCTTATCCCTTGTTCTTTGGTATTCTTATGTTATTGGCCTCAGTGATCTATAGTTTATACAATAATATTGTTGGCAGTTAGTCAGCTAGAAAAATATATGCAGAACAAGATATTGAAATTAGATGATTAAGTATATGATTTAAAAAAAGTATATGATTAAATTTGGTCTAAGAAATTGACTGCATGTATAAACGATATGCATTCTTCAAAATTTATTAGTGAATTTTGATTAAGTAGATAATTCATGGTGTTTTGATGATGCGACAATGCTCACAACTCTTTGTTTCTTGATGTATGTATGATTTAGAAAGTTGGATGCCACTGTTTTCATGTTTTGAATTAGTTTCGGTCTCTTCCTGTCAATGATTCAACAAAAATTTTACCTGTCATTATCTATGCAAAATAGAAAAAAAATGTACCCAATTGTTTACAATTATTATTATTATTTTTTCTTTGAGAGTCAAGTTAACAAAAACCAACCACTCTCGCCCTTTCTTGATGTCTATTTTTATTACACAATCGATTGTTACAATAACCAAATTAAGGTAAACTAAGCCTTGCGTCCTAATCAAGAAGGTTGGTTACATAAATATTTTTTTGCCATTTTGCTATGTGAAGTGCGCTATGCTCAATTAAATTAAATCAATGATAAATCAAAAACTCAAATCAAATCCATTACTTCTTTGGCTTGAATGAAGTCAACTTGCAAAACCAACCATATGTCAGGAAATCCCAATTTGATTTCTCTATGTCCATTTTTAATATACAATTGACTGTTACAATTATAAATTCAAAATTTGAAGCCAAGTTAGTCATTTCTTGGCTTGTATCAACTCAATTTGCAAAACCAACCCATATTACAAAATCCCAATTTGGTTCGGTCTGATCCTTGTTTATACTACACCAAGTTGTGCTCATGTATGGATATAGTTCTTTCTTTTTTGGCTCGTATGCTTTGTTTTTATCTTATTGTTTTCATTTTTCAAAGGTTTGTTCCTTCAAAGTTCGAGGAGATTTTCTGCAAGCATGCGCGCACAAACCCAAATGCCTTAACATCAGCCGAACTAAAAGAAATGCGGAAGGCAAACAGGGAACCAAAGGACTATGGAGGATGGTTCGTCATATTTCACATTCAAAACTATTAATTTTAATTAGGGCAAATTATGCAAATAGTCCCTTACTTTATATGATGTATCAATTTAGTCCATGTAATTTCAATTTGCTCGATTTTGCCTCTTAATTTAACGAATTGTGTCATTTTAGTCCAATAAATAACGACTGTTAAGTTAATTTAACGGAAAATCAAACAATCTGTCAATTTAGTTCCTTTATTTTTCACAATAAGTCAATTTAGTCTCTGTCAAAATCGAGAAAATTGAAACTACAGGACTAAATTGACACATTATTTGACCTTCCGTTAAATTAACTTAACAGCCGTTATTTATTGGACTAAAATGACACAATCCATTAAATTAAGGAACAAAATCGAGCAAATTGAAACTATAAGGACCAAATTGACACATTGTGTCCCTTTTAATTATGTTCGGATCTTCCATGAAATTTATCTAACATGATGAAATTTCGTAATGAATTATAGGATTTCAAGCTTTGCAGAGTGGACAGTCTTGTACATACTTTGCAAGGACAAGAACGGTTTATTGCAGAAAGATACGATCCGAGGCGTTTATGATGGAAGCCTGTTTGAACAGATGGCGGAGAAGAAGGCTTCAGCTGGGAAGAAAAAACACACGTAAAGTAACTAAAACCAGTGATAATTGACTCTTCGTTTCAGATGCTAAACCTTTTATTTTTTTTGTAAAGAAATAATTGTGAAACAAACAAGAAGTAGTTCTTATATACTGGGATGATTTGATCTTTTTTGTTGCAGTGTTACTTCTGAGTAAAAAAGGGAAAATTGCTAGGACTCATCGTATGGTACCTTTGGGCTCTGCAGATTGGATGGTCTTTGATTGTAAACACACACATATTTGAAGTGTGAATGTAGTGTGTAACACAGTTGAAGCATTTATTGTTTGTTTGAAGAATAATATATATTTGTCTTTCTGATGTTTCTGAAAAAAAGAAGAACAATGTATTTGATTGATATATGTTAATTCTTTTGTTGTATTGAAATATATTTGTTTGATTTATGTAATGTTTTATTAATTTATTTTAAGAAAATTATATTTGATTGATTGATTTATAGCATGCAGAATTGCTTGGGACCTGTAAAGTGAAAAATGTGGAATGTGGTTTTAGTATGGAATATTCCTTTTCCCCTCTTTTTTTTCTTTTGGACCAGATATACTAGCTGTTCCTGTAGTTTGAGACGTATATTATTTTGATTTCTAATCTTTCAATTATAATATATTGGGAAAATTAGTCTAAAGTCCATCTTCCATTTTTAGTAATGGAAGACATTCACAATATTATTTTTTGATATCTAAGGTCCCTTCCATCTATCACAGAGAAATTCAACCCCCTTCCTTTTGTCTATTCTCACTCATCACCACGATCAAACACGCACACACATAGAGTTCACTACACACAGACATGTACATACATACATACATACATACATACATACAGAGAGAGAAACCCAGAGCTTTCTAGAGAGAGAAAATGAAGATGATTGGAAAAACAGTCCTTTCTCTCCTACTCATCCGCTCTCAAACTCACCGGTGATTACTTCCGGCGACTAACAATCGCTGTGTTTAGTCCCTGGTTCGTGTTTGTGATCAGAAACACAATCATCATCACTCTGTTTCTGAAATACAGTACTAGAAATAGCAAAACGAGTTTCAATTTCTGCGAAGAGTATGTTGAGAACAGTTTGAAGAATCAGATCGATCATGAAGTCGAGATCGAGTATCGGATGAGAGAGAGTCAGTGTGAGAATTTGAAGAGAGAAAGTAGTGGTGAAAAACGATACGGCGGAGTAAGGTAGAGGAGTGTGGCGGCGGCGAGTAGATGTACGGAGAAGATGAGCGGAGAGGAGTTCCGGAGGACGGTGGAGGATTTTATTGCGAGGCAGCAGAGGTACCTAAGAGAAGAAGAGTTTTCAGCCATTGTTAGATACTGAAGAAGCTCAAGAAATCCTCAATTTTTTTTTTTTTTTTTAAACTATATTTCTCTTCTTTGTTTGGAATATGGTGTTTTTCTTTGGTTTGGAGTCTAGAGATTCTCTAGAAATTTCTCTGGGAGAAAACTAAAGAAATTTGCAAACCAAAGAAATTTGAAGAGAATTTTTAAGTGGGAAGTCTAGAGAAATTCTATGATTTTGATTGAATTTCTCTGATTTGGACTAGAGAAATTCTCAGAGCTGGATTGAATTTTCTGTTATTTGAACCTGAGAAATTTTCTAATTTAGATTGAATTTTCTATGATTTTGATTGAATTTCTCTGGTTTCAGAGTTGGATTGAATTTTCTCTGATTTGAACCTGAGAGAATCTCTTAGTCCCTTACTTTATATGATCTCTGAGTTGGATTGAGTTTTTTTTGGATTGAATTTTCTTTTTTCTTTTTTTTTATGTTGGGCCATGGATCCAAAGAAATTTGAATGTTCAAAATCTTGAACCCAGAGAAAATCTTTGGAAGCCCAGAATTTCTCTGAATAGAATTTCTCTGGGCTGAAATTTCTCTGGACTGAAATTTCTCTGGGCTAGAATTTCTCTGGATCAATGTTGAGGGACCTTAGACATTATGAAAATATTAAATGTCCTTTGTGCTATAAAATCATAATAACAGGGACCTTAAAACAAAAAACCTCTAATATATCTGATTTTGAATTTTGAATCTTATTCTAAATAAAAACAATTAAAGACATTGTTGCTTTATTTCAAGGGAAAAGTCATCGATTTGATAAAATATAAATTATTTTGACAAAAATAAATACCAAAAAAATTATTTTTAAATTTTTAAAAATTATTCTTATTCACTAAAGATAAAATTATATAAAAATGATAAATCTTTTACATTTTAATTTTTTTATTAAATTAATTTTTAGTATGTGTTTGGATGATGATCATTATGTAACAAGTGATTGTTTTTGCTTATGTTTTTGGATGGTTATTATGTAATAGATGACTGTATTTGTTATTAACAAATATTTATGGATAATTATCATGTAATAGATGGTCATTATGTTTTTAATGTGTAATTGATATGTTTAATTTATGAAACATTTTTAGTTTTGGATTTTTTGACTTAATGGATTGATTTGATAATAATATCAACGTTGTGGCCATGTTTAACTTTTGAAAAAATAAAAATTAATTTAACGAAAATAAATAGTAAAAAAAATTATTTAAAAAAATTATTTCTACTTTCTCAAAAGATAAAATTATACAAAAATGATTTTTTTTAAAAAAAAATTCACCAATTTAATTTTTAGTTTCTTAAAAAAAAACAAATTGAAAATACATTCTAAAAACCAAACTAAACAGAACTTTATAACCAAGAAAATTTCAGCGTTATTCACTAAAAAAAAAAAAATTCTACTTTTCAAGAAACACTTTTCAAAAAATCTACTTTATTATTTTCCGTGTTTTTTTGTTTTTACTGAATTTTTTAAATATTTTAAGTAATTTTTTTTTTACTTTTTAGACACACCTAACATAAATACACCTAAAAGTAAAAAAAATTGTAAAAAAAATCTATTAAAAATTCACTAAATACTAAAAATACAAAAAAAATACAAAAATTCAGTATATTTTTTATATTTTTATGTATTTATTAATTTTTAAAAATATTTTTCACAAATTTTTTACTTTTCAGATACATCTAAGTAAGGTGCATCTAAAAAAGTATAAAAAATATTTAAAATTTTAAAAATATTCACTAAAAACAAAAAAATACGAAAACCAAAAAAGTCAATTTTCAAAAAACTTAATTCAGAAAACTTAAACCAAACACACTGTATTTCTAACAACATAAAAGTTAATCAATACAAAATAAGTTGAATTGAAATAGACTGTTTGCAAAGAAAATAGCTTTTATTGTCTTTTTATGAAACAACTTTCAAAGTTTAGAATTAAATATATCACAATTAAAAAATTAAGAATCCAAGTGAAATAAATCCTAAATTATAGGAACTATTAGTGTAATGCATACTTTGTTTTTCGTTTTTTTTTTTCAATGGTGGAATAGTTTGGAAATTAGAATATACTTCGTTTGGGAGTTTCATGGATGGAGCTATTTGTAGAATTTTAAGTGTATGATCTTGAATGTATGAAGGGAAAGAAAATTCTTATTCCTAAATCCAAAACGTAAAAAATATCATTATTATATTAAAATTTTTTAAATAATTTAAAATTATAAAGATTTGCACTTCAAACATTCTTGCTCATCCCCTATAGTGATAGTCCAAGTAATTTGGAATCAAGTTAAATTAGGAAATTTTTTGAAATGAAACTAGATAGAACCAGTAAAAAGTGGTTCGGTTTAGTTTGGAAATATGACTTTTGAATTTTTTTTTATCAAGGCTAATATGATTAAAAAATATTATTTACAATGTATATGTTGAAACATCAAACAATAATTCATCAATTTACAAACAAAAATGGTTTAGATATGTTCATGCATAATAAGGGGTGTAAATTCGGCCCAACCCGTTTGGCCTCTCACCAAAAAAAGGGGTCGGTCGGACTCCTTTCCCCTTCAGTTCGCAAAAATTTAGGCACAGGCCCACGGGGTAATCAAAAAAAAAATTTAAATTTTGTTTCACCAAAATAGTTTGAAAATGATGTTGGTCGTCCGGTGGGTCGGGCCTCAGAGTGGGCCTGGATATGGCCTTAGGTCGGGCTAGGAAGAAAAAAAGCATGGCCCAAGCCCTAGCCTGGGCAGATCGGGTTCGACTGGGCCTTGGGTATGGGCAGGCCTTGGATGGGTTTCAGGCCATCGAGTTATTTTTACACCACTATATATAATCTAGTTGTCATATATTTGATTTAAGAATTGCCATATGTTATGATGCGATATAATTTGATTGTAATATCCATTGTCATATATTTGATAAAAGACATCTGATATGATATCATGGGATAAAATTTGATTGTAATGTCCATATGTAGCTTCTCATCCGTTAGGATCCTTGTATCCATTTTCGCTCACCCCTAATAAAAGTGAAAAACTATTACTTGCACATACAAACTTTTTTTTTTTGTTTTTTTTTTTGGTTTTTTTGCTAGACTTTGAGACTGAAACGGAAATAAAATGACTTACACGTAAATTTATTTATTTATTTTTTGGAACTAATGCTTTTGTTGATGCAAGGACTTTTTTTCTTTTTTATTTTTTGTTGCAATCGGTAGGAGAGGGAATGGAGAAAGAAGACTCTGTATCACACAACGGTAAGGGAGCATCTCCTCTATTCAGCCAAACTATTGGTCTCTTAAAAAGACAATGTACGGTTGAGTTCAACTTTTATAAAATAGAACCCACATCCTCCATAAATCTTAACTATACATTAAATATTTTTTATTTTTTTGGGGTACCAATCTTGTGTGTATGAGTAGATTACTCGTTAAAATGTGCTTTTCTTTGTTAGCTTTTGAGGCAAAGAAGAGAGATGCACGGCAGTGTAAAGCTATAGGATGATGACTTGGGAATGACACAAAAGAAGAGTTGAGGCTTGCAAGCATACTCATAGATATAAGGTAACTTGAGGGGATTGGAAATAATGGGGCTTCACTTTGACTTTACACTACTTGTGTATTTTCTTGTCTAATAATCTGCTAAAGTAATGTGCAAAGCCAAAAAAATTGATTCTTTCACACAACATTGGAGCTATATATAATCTATAGCGAGTAATGGAACATGTTTGGAATTCTTAATTATTATTAATTTTTTAATTTGGCTCACAATGTTATGTTGTTAATTTTTAATTTATTACATATTCAATCATATAAACTTGACTCTTTTATCACATCGTCATTGATAAATTTATGAATTTAAAATTATAAATCCTCTAACTTTCCTGCTAGATCCATCTCATTAAGGAAAGCGCAATTTCCAACAATTTGAACCCAATCTTCTTACATTTGTTATAATTGTGGATGTTGATTTCCGATCACAACTGGAGAGTACCGATAGAATAGATTAAACCCAACAACCTATAACAAGAAGATGAGAATCGAGGGGCACTCCGACGATCA